TAAGGCTTCTTCAGAACCCAGAGTTCACATAATACACTTGCCATCCTCAATTTCTTAAACACTATTTTTCTTTAATAAAAAAGATCAGCCCCAAGCCCTGGGCTTGGTGCCACAGCTCTTCTTTTCTTTCCTATTGATCGTGTTATTGTATCTACGAAAGAGGTTGATTACTGAACTCAGTTAATGCCATATGTAAGGGTTATTAATCATTTGAAGTAAAACCAGCGTTTAATTGGTGACAACAACCAGACTCCTGAAGGCTGTTTCTCAGATTACAGCCTGCCAGGTAGCTACTATTCATCAGACTTCAAATGTGGTAGAAGACTAGATTTCTATCAGCCTTTTTTTTTTTTTAAAGATACAGTCTCACCATGTTGCCCAGGCTAGTCTTGAACTTACAGCTCAAGTGATCCTCCCATCTCAGCCTCCCAAAATGGTGGGATTATAGGCACCTGGCCTCTACTAGCTTTAAGAACAAAACAGAACAAACAGGAAAAACTAATTCTGTATGTATTTTTATTAGTCAAAAAAATTTTAGACAACTGTTCACAGAGAAATTACTTTTCCTACTAAAATTTGAAATTTAGTAGTATAGTGGTTAAGAGCTCAGACTTTAAAAAAAGAAAAAAAAACCTTTCATAAAGGAAAATCACAACATGTATAAAAATAGGGAGGACAGTATCATGACTCCTGCACACTCACCACCCAAGCAGCAACCACTGTGGCTAACTTGTTTCAGCTACACCCACCCACTTTCCCACAACCCACCATGGACTATTTTGAAGCAGATCCCAGGCTTTGCATAATTTCACTTATAACTATTTAAATACACATAAGGGCACAAACTTCAAGTTATACAGACCTGGAGTCAAATCCAGACTCAACGACCTACTAGCTGTGTGACCTTGGGCTACTGATTTAATTTCTTTGAGCCTGTCTTTTACCTGCAAAATGGGGACCATAATTCCTCTTCACAGGACTATAATATGAGCAAAATGTCACAACATATCTAAAGAGTAGAGCCTAGTGCTGGCACACAGAAAGCAGCTAATACACAGCAGCTATGATCATTATTACTGTACTAGACTTTGAAGGCAAAACTGTTTCTGACTCATTTCCAATGAGACTCACAAAGGACAAAATAGGTAGCCAAAAGTTCCATATTAAAAAGAGATGCTAACTTCTCTTTGCTGAACTTGTAGAGAAAGTAACTAAAACATGAAGAGTGACCTATTAGCCCAAGATTCACATGCAGGAGCTTAGGAGGCTCAAAATCTCTTTGGTTAAAGCTGGTAGAGCTCTGTGGAGTCTCCTACCATTCTTCATGGTTGCAAGGAGGAGGTGCTTTTCTGTCACTTTATAAATCAAGAGGAAGGGGGTTTTAGGAAAGGCCCTAAGAAAGTACAACCTGTTTGCCCTGGAAATTGTCATTGCAGGGTACAAAGACCGGTGTCTGACCCCCATCAAGAAGCAGGAAAGAGCCGCATGTGGCAGCTGAGTGAAGGCCACAGAAAAAGGATCCTCTTCCCTGCTGCTGGCTTCCTACCCTGAGGCAAGCCTCAGTCAGGGAAGAGAAGGTTTTCTTTTGTTTTCTTTTCTTTTTTTTGAGTTGGAGTCTCACTCCATTGCCCAGGCTGGAGTGCAGTGGCATGCTCGCGGCCTCCCCAGCTTCAACCCGCTGGGCTTCAGCGATCCTTCCACCTCAGCCTTCAGAGTAGCTGGAACTACAGGCATGCACTACTACGCCCAGCTAAGTTTTTATTTATTGTAGAGACGAGGTCTCACCAAGCTGCCTGGGCTGGTCTTGAACCCGCGGGCTCAGGCAATCCACTCGCCTCGGCCTCCCAAATTGCTGGGATTACAGGCTGAGCCACCAAGTCTGGCCAGATTTTCTTTTTTAATGACGTTCGAAGTGGGCATTTTAAGTACTGAAATTAGACTCCATTTGTGACTAGAAGTGGTGAGAGAACTTTTTAAAATCTAAAGTGATAGAAAAAGTTATAGGATATATATTATAGGAGACATATGTATATAATATGATATATATAGGATATATATTCCATCCAAGAAGAAAGAAAGAACCCACAGAATGAGCTTCTCAAAGGGGGAACTGAGAGGAAAAATCAAGTAGTTGTTTGTCTTCCACACTATCACATTCAGCCCTTCTGATGTAAGTAGCGTGAGGAATACCTTAAATAGATTAATAGAGGCAGATAGTACAAAGTACTGAGCTATAAGACTTGTCACTTCTAAACAGAATAAACCTTCTGAAGATGTATTAGAAAAGCTGCTCTCTGATAGGTCATTGAATGTGGAGAAGAAGAAAAGCTACTCTTTTTATATCTCTTTTACTATTATTTTCAATTAACAGCAGCTAAGTGACACATCCAGGAAGGATTCTACCTATTCTTTCCAAAAGAATGGAACAAGGAGGAAGCAGTAAAAGTTCATGAAGAGGCAGAGACAGAGAGGAAAGGGGAGAAGTCATGTGCCCCAAGATGACTGATCTAGGCAGAGTAACTCCATGTGCAAGGTCCTTTGTTAAGCTCTAAAACAGTGCTTAAGGGGGCAAAGCAGCATTTCCTGACCTTAAGGAGTTTGGATTAAACATAATCTTGCAACAGCAAGAGAGACAAACAATTTTCTGGAGAAGGGGAGTGAGTAAGAGAAGAAATACAAAACTGAAGAGCTAAAGGTCCGGTAAAGAATCCTTGTAGAGGCTACTATGAGTCAGATAAAGCAAACTCATGGCTCTTTGAAAACTCAGATCTTAATAAATCAGTTATAATGAAATATTCTGCACATTCTGAAGCATTCTCACATTGGTTTTGGAAGCTCATTCCATTTAAGATCAATCTTTCTTTGGGGGAAAAGAGTTATTCATTACTTTTAACTATGGAAGCACCATATTGACCTTTATAATAAAAAGCGTGAACACTGTGACTGCATTGTGAATTATAAGCAGGCACAAATTCATTCTTGGAAAACATTAAATGTCAAACCAGAACTTCTTTCACTTCAATTATGGGGTGTCCAAACAAACGAGCCTCCTCAGTGGCAATAATGGCATCTCTGTGCCATCCACCTGAACTAATAAAGGTTACAATCCTCATCCAGAGTTCATCATCCCCATAGCTTGTGACATGAATGCTAGACACCCAGCCCTCTGTCTAACTAAGCACTAACCAGTCCCAACCCCAATTAGTCACAGAACATGCTGTTATGCTGTATAGAGGGCTCAGATTCATTTTTAGCAGAGAGGCCTCCAGTTTGTTACTTCAAGTTTTCTGTTGCTATCATAACACAGCTGATAAGACTATTGCTTGTCAGAGTGATAATGAATAATAGTTAAGGCTCAATTTCAATTCTGACCTACAAAAATGGTTTGAGTTATTGATTACAGTATAAGTCAAGGCAATCAAATTTATTTTTGGTTATGCAATCACTGAACTGATTACTTTTTCAAATAAAAGACTAAAGAACTAGATTACATCTTAGAATAGAAAGTAACAAGTAGCAGTCTGTATGTGTGAGAGAGTGAGAGTGAAAGAGAGAGTGTGAATGTGTGAGTGTGTGTGCAAACATGCACAGGGGGATGTTGCCAGTTTTCCATCTGGATGCCATGATGTAACAGGATAATCATAAACTGCATTCTCACTGTTTAAGTCCATGAATAATGCCCAGATAATCTTGCATGACTTAAAAAAGAAATGAATTGTGACATGTAACTCAAACTCAACAATCAGTCATTTATAATAGATTGATTCTTCCGGGGTACTTTTAGCAATTCATGAAATATCTTGGATGGAAGACAAGAAGAAATAACATACAAAAAAGAAAAAGCAGTTTGTTTCCTACTGTTAAGTTAAAGAAGACAGATTTCTCAATGATAGTACTCTTTTATCCTACAATCAACAATCCTTCAAAATAAAATCCAGCTAGTCTAAACCAACTGGATGAATAAAAAGACATCTTTCATCTAACTTTGATTCATTTTTACAATTATTTTCTACTTTAAAAGAATCTACTTCAAACATGACTTTTCTCCCCAGGGCAAGAAGACTATAGGTTACACAGAAGGCAAAGTACATCTCAAGGGGGAACAAAACAATAGAGACAACTCTCGCCTTGAAGTCATGAAGTCACCTAGATGCAGAGGGAAGAACTTCCTTTCTTTCAAGCCCTTCTTACTCTGCAGTCTGAAAACTAAGCTCCCAGAAACACTTTTATCTAAGGGCAAAGGAATGATGAGACTCCCCAGGGGAAGAACATAAGAAATGACCATAAAGTACTGAAAGTGACTTTTCAATAAATGTGCCAGAACTAATATGTACAAATGGTTGTTGCCCTCTTCAAAGTCATTATCCTGGAAATTATATACTTATTCTAATGATGCTGTTATGGCACTTTGGAATTTGTTTCAGAGGCTGGAATTTTCTACAATCTTAAAGCTAGCAAATTTTGCCTTTTCGGGCTGAATTTAACAATGTCCAAAAGTGCTCAGAGTAGTTGTGCTTTTGTTGGAAACCTGTCTGACGTTCCAAATCTAGGTTACATGTCCCCTCCTAAATGATCCCTGTCCTTCCCCCAGTAGAGGATTTTTCATTTGGAATTGCTTGCTTCTTATCACCTGTCTCTCTGAAAAACTGTCTACTTCATCAGAGCAGGAAACTCATCTACCTTCTTTATTATTATACCCACAGTCCTATCATACAGACTAGAAAATCATAGGCATCCAAAACATACCGAATGATGCAATCTACTATAATATAAAATGGTTTGGAATACTCTGTGTGCCTTCTTCTCCCTACTCCTCTCAGAAAAGAGTATCACACCTCTGTGCAACTCTGTATCTACATAGAGGGACTATTACTTAAAAGTAATTGAACTAGAGGATGTTTACTACTTATTTATACATATTTAAAAAAATAAAAATCATATCTTCACAGACTAAACACAACTTTTTCACTCTCAAATGTTCAAGTACAAGAATGTCTTACCTAGTTGCAATATCTTGATAGTGTCTCTGCAGGCCTTCGTTGCCAGCTTGAAATGGCGAAAGAGGGGATAGCACAACACTCGTCTTCCAAAAGACACCATAACCTCATGAACATTAGTCCAAGTCTGTGAAGTGTCATTTTAATAAGGGGTCACTGCCACAAAATACGTTATACAAACAAAAGCACACAACAGAAAACTTCTCTCAATTAAAAACTTTAAATTTGACTAGGCCCAGTGACTCACACCTGTAATCCCAACACTTTGGGAAGCAGAGACAAGAGGACTGCCTGAGCCCAGGGGTTCAATTAGCCAGGTGTGGTGGCGCACCTGTAGTTCCAGCTACTTGGAAGGCTGAGGCAGAAGGATCGCCTGAGCCTAGTAGATCGAAGTTTCAGTAGCCATGAGCATGCTACTACACTCCAGCCTGGGTGACAGAATAAGACTCCGACTCAAAAAATAAATAAAAATAAAAACTATAAGTTTGGATCAGCATAAAGCCAAGCAAAAGAGAAACACAAAATCATGAACTGTGATTATCTCTGTATACCTTACCATGAAATAATCATAGTCTATAATTTCTCCTACCATACCAACATATCACAAATGTAGCAGAAAAGTTTTTTAAAGCCTTAAGAATTATCAATAAGAACCTAAAACACATGGCATTAACAAAATACAGACACACATAAAGGACGTTCTAAAATAATATAGGTTTCATGTTTTTGTCTTTTAGGGCCATTCAAGATGGCACAGATAAAGGATGTAAAACTCCTGAACAAAGTATGCTTAAGTCTCCTCTCTCCTTTTTTCAGTTTTTGGCTTTGGGCAGGAGTAACACAATATGTTTACTTGAGTAATTTGCTTACACATCTTCAAGAGAAAACACTGCAGTACTGACTTCTAGAGAAAAAGGTGTTTTATTTTGAATGGTATCAAATTGACACCATTAGCAATTCAAAACTTACCAAAAATACTAGACAATGAAAATTTTCTAAAAAATTATTTTTAAATTGGTTTTTGATAAGCAAAGTATTAAAAATGTAAGCTATATGCAAAATTTTTAATATAAAACTAAGGTCAGGCTTGGTGGCTCACACCTATAATCCCAGCACTTCGGAAGAAGGAGGCAAGAGGTTTGCCTGAGCTCAGGGGTTCAAGACCTGCATGGGCAAATTGGCGAGACCTCATCTCTACAAGAAATTTTTTTTAAAAATTAGCCGGGCATAGTGATATGCACCTGTAGTTCCAGCTACTTGGAAGCTGACGCAGAAGAATCACTTGAGCCCCATAAGTCAAGGCTGCAGTAGCTGTGAGCATGCCAATGCACTCGAGTGAGACTCTGACTTAAAATAAAAATAATAAACAAATAAATATATAAATTGAAACTAGAGGAGAAAGATAATTTCCATGTTATATTAATCCTTAACACTATGAGAGATCTGATTAAGAATACTGAGTACTTGATAAAGGATAGCTTATATTTAAGAAAATGAACTTAAAAAAAATGCTAACAAAAGATTAAATATTTATAAAAGTTTAACATAGCTATTAATATGTCTGGCAATTCTAAGTTATCTCAAAAACAATAAAAATTTCACAATAAAAAAAATAGGTGAATTTTCTTCTCTTTTTTTTTTTTTGAGTCAGAGTCTCACTCTGTCACCCAGGCTGGAGTGCAGTGGCACGCTCACGGCCTCCACAGCCTCAATCTGCTGGGCTCAGGCAATCCTTCCACTTCAGCCTTCTAAGTAGCTGGAACTACAGGCGTGCGTCTGTAACCATACCTGGCTAATTTTTTGATTTATTGTAGAGATGCCCAGGCTGGTCTTGAATCCATGGGCTCAGGCAATCCTCTCACCTCGGCCTCCCAAAGTGCTGGGATTATAGGCATAAATCACCATGCCCAGCCAGTAGATAAATTTTCATGTAGATCTTAATAACTGTACTATAAAATTATCTACTCACTAACCACTCTCAACATACTAACAAATGCTATTACTACAAAACCCAATTCCTCTATTATACACTGATCGTGGTAATATAAGGAACCCAAAAGAAGCCTAGGGAGCACACTTCTCCATCTTCAATGTGTATACAAATCCCTTAGAGACACTGCCATAGGTTCTGGTTCTGATTCAGTGGGTCTAGAGTAGGTCTAAGATTCTGTCTTTCTAAGCTCTCAGCTGAAGCTGCAGGTTAAGCTGTTGGTCTGTGGCTCACTTTTAGAGTAAGTAGCAAGATTCTCTGATGAAGTAAACGCTTCCTTTTCTATTTACATCTCACCTATTATTTGAACAAAGTGATGCCATGAAACAACACTGATTTTACAACTTAAAAAATACTAGTTGTCTTAATTGATGATACAATTACCAACTGCTTACACTGGTACTTTTTTTAAGGTTTCTACTTTTAATTACTATTTTGATGTACAACAGCTTGTTCAAACTATTAAGTTTAAAGATATCGTTCTTTACTGGGCACAATGGCTCACACCTGTAATCCCAGCACTTTGGGAGGCAGAGGAGAGAGGAGAGAGGATTGTGTGAGCCCAGGGGTTAGAAATCAGCATGGGCAACTTGGGGAGACCTCATCTCTATGATAAGTAAAAAAAAATCAGCTAAGCATTGTGGCACATGCCTGTGGTTCCAACTACTTGGAAGGCTGAGGCAGAAGGACCACCTGAGCCCAGCAGTTCAAGGCTACGGTAGCCATGAGTGTGCTGTACTCCAACCTGGGTGACAGAGTGTGACTCCACACCTCAAAAAAAATTCAAGGAACTGCATGAATTACCCAAAATGAAGTAATGTCAACAAGAAAAAAACCCCCTGAACAACAAAGTCTAAACAACTGCAACTAGAAATCATACCTCAAGCCAGCACAGCGTTGGACTCAGTTTTCTGATATTCCATGCAGATTCAACCTTTATTTGTTTTGGAGAAGAGAGTACCATCACAATAGAGGTAAAGTCATTTAAAAATAGTCCAAATATGTTCATTTTATTCAACCAGTATTGTAATAGTATTGACATACATAAGAACTAAAAAGTATTCACAACTACAGAATATTGTTTTACTGATGCAGAGACAATAAGAGGGGAGTTTCTGTTTACTTTCCTTGGGTTTTTATAAAATAAACTCTTCTTCTGACAAAAGTACCAAAACACAAGAGTAAATAAGCAAGGTCTAACTAAAAAGTAAAGTATAATGCTTGCTCAATTTCTGTCCTTCTCAACTAAGTTACTTGCCTCCCAAACATTCTATAGAAAATCTATCAAAGGAATCGAAGATAATAATGAAGTATTGTCTGTGGCACTTAACAAGCTCCTTGAGAATTTGACCTTTCAGAGAATGCTTGTGAGAATAAGTACATTCTAGAGAAAGTCTCAAAGTTTTAAGCCTTCATAATTTCAAACAAGAGAATAAAAGAATAAAAAACAGTCAATTTTACCAAGTATAACTAAACTCTTGCTCCTTTTTTCAAGATTCAATAATATGAAGTACTTTTTTGTCAAAGAAAACATCTTCTCCAATTATAGTATCTTTAAAAGCAGAAACAAAAAGTATTTCCAGATATATTATGCCCCTGACACACTCAATAATACTCAATTTGGAGTCAGATGAAAACCTCAAGAGTCATCTTAGAAATTTTCAAATTCATAATAACAAAAATACTGGCACATATCAAATTTTAACTAAAATATTATGCTAATGCTATGATGTTGAGTAAGAAAGGCAGAGTAAATACTACATACATTATAATACACGTACATACACACATGTGCACATTGAAAGAAGACTGGAAAGAGATATATCACCTTGTAACGGTAGTTATTTCTGATGGCTGAAATTACAGGAAATCTTAATTATTTTCTTTGTGTGTGTATTTTCCTTTATAATATGAAGTATTTGTGTTAATTAAAAAAAAAGGAAAGCATACGCTCAGGTCAAAAACAACTCTTTGAGCAAAGACAATTATAAACAGTTGCAGGGACACACTAACTGGAAAGACTTTCTTTTGGTTTTCCAGTCTTTTTAAATATACAATCAGTGATATAAATGAGAAAGAAATTTAGCTCCTCATTTACAAAATCAAATACAATTTAAGAAGAGATACAATAAGGTCCATATTATTTTTGAAAAATCATTTAAGAAATAATTTACTTTATAAAAGGATTTACTTTTATAATATAAGTTTTTTAAGTAGCAAAAAAAAAGGTATGATGCAGGTCTTTAAAAATCTGTTTCATATCCAATTTTTCAGAAGAACACATACTCCACAAATTGAGGAACATTTGCAGGTAAATACTAAGAATCCTTTTTTTTTTTTTTTTTTTTTTAATGTTCCACTTTGCATCTGCTGACTGATGGCTGGGAGAAAGAATATAAATAGAAATGGCAGTTTACACCCTTGCCAATGTCAAACGTCATGTGACAAAGCTCTCTCCTTTGGCCTAAAAGAGGTGAGAGCTCAGAATAGCCTGCCTCTCTACTGTCAGCTTTACTTCCTTAAACTTCCCTGCTTTGCTATTTGGCAGAGACCAGTGCCAAAAAAGAAGAGAAAAAGACCAAGGAAGAATTATATGCTTGCATGCCGGTCCTCACCACCACCATACACATGTACTCTGCCTGGGCATCCCCTAGGTAACTCATCATGACAGGTTCTACTTTAGACAAAAGACCTCATGTTTTCATGCAGTTTACTTGCACAGTACCCTATGCTGACATGCAGAGACACATGTGCACTTACATTCTTCTCTCCTTCAGTGACACGAATGTCATAGCAATATGCCAGAAGGATATCAATCAAACTGTAGTACACTTGACGACAGGCTCTCTTGTCCAGCACATAAGATTTATTGACAAATTTTCTTAGCTGATATTTCTCTTCTTCAGAAAAAGACACTAGAAGAAAATGCATTTAAAAATAAGATGTTTCATTCAGTTTTGTAAAACCTCCAATGTGGAAGAAGTGTCAGAATTAGAATTGTGACTACAAAAACTGAAATAAAAGTTATTTCTACTTAACTCCAGATATATAAATAACTTTGTAAGTACACTTTACAGTTATTAGAGGCCATGCATTTGTTTAAACCCTAATAGAGCGAAATAAAGAAATTCTAAACAATATCTATTCCTTATTTCCAGATCTCACTTTCTTCTTACACTGTTCTGTTTGAATGCCAGAGTTACCTTGATAATATTCATTATCTATTTTGAAAGTTCTATACCAGGAACTAGGAATATTCCCAGACATTAATCAATGTTAAGGGCATAGTATTTACTTGTTAATATTCTTTGCTTGTGTAAATAAAGTTTTACGTATGACCAAATCACATATATTAGACTTGTGGGATCAGAATGTTTCTTTTCAACACTTCGTTTCACTTCTTTTGCTTGGCACCCTCTCTCCACTCAAATCTTTATCAACAGAATCCCCCACATTAAAAATCTAGTATATATTATTCCATAGTTTTCTCTATACCGTGTAATCATATACAGACACACAAACATATATAATAGGGAATATATAACTCCCATGCTCCAACCCCCACAAAAAACTAGGTCGCTGGTCTGCATTTAGCCCCTTTCACTCAACAATACCCCTGGTAAATCCCTCCAAGTCAACTGGTACGGGGCTAATTTTTGTAAAGGAGTATAATATTCTAAAATGTACCATGTTCTATCCAACCACTCCCCCTACTGATGGATAGTCACTTTACCTCATGCTTGCTGCCAGTGCTAATAATGCTGCAGTAAATATCCTTATCACATGTCCTTGGATATTGACGGCTTTATTTCCATAAACTAGATTCTCAAGTGTAGATTTATTGGGCCAAAAAGTGTATCTGTTTTAGAATGATACTTTACTTAAAGGCTATAATAACTCCTTTCTAACAGCCATGGATAGAAGTTCCTCTTCCTGCACATACCTTCTACCTCCTCCTGGCAAGAAATGTAATAGCTTTATTCCAATCATTTCCATTTAATGAATACAAAGTGACTGTAGAAGGCAGAATTCTAAGATGACCCCAAATGAGTCACTTCACTATGTGGGAATGGAGCATGTAATTTGCTTCTATCCAACAGAATACGAAAAGACGATGGGATAGTCACTTTCATGATGACATTCCATTATTAGCAGACTGGAGCCAGGAACTTGCCCACCAGTTTTGAAGAAATAAGATGCCATGTGGTAATGTGTGAGGGCCTGTGAGAAAGTTACATGGCAGAGGCCTGCCAAGGCCTCTCAGATCTGAGTGGCCCCTTATTGACAGCCAGCAACTAAGTGGGGGCCTCAAGTTCTACAGTCAAAAGGAATGGAATTCTGCCAACAATCCTGTGGCTTTGGAAGAGGACCCTGAGGTCCAGAAAGGAGCTAACATCTATTTAAAAAAAAAAAAAAAAAAAGACAGACATCTTTGGCTATATCCTTGCAAGATCCTAGGCAGAAGACCCAGCTAAGCCAGGCCTACCTCCTAACTTATAGAAACCAAGAATATGAACGTATATTGTATAAAGCTTGTGGTAATTCTTCATGCAGCAAGAAAAAACTAAAATGACGACATATCATTGTTATTTCACTTCAAATTGCTTTAACTGCTAAACTTTGAGCATTATTTCATAGGTCTGTAGGCAATCTGGATTTACTCTCCTGTGAATTAGCCATTTTGTCCATTTTTCTATGTTGCCCAACTTCTTCTATTGGATGGCTTGTCTTGTAAATTAAGAACTCTCTGTATACTAGAGATATAAACCTTAATCATCTCTCCAAATCTACTGTATTTCTATTGACTTTGCTTGTGATACTTCTTGCTGTTGAAGCATTTTTTTTTTCTTTTTTTTTGAGTTGGAGTCTCACTCTGTCGCCTGGATTGGAGTGCAGTGGGCGCTCCCGGACACCGCAGCCTCGACCTGCTGGGTTCCGGCGATCCTTCCGCCTCAGCCTTCCAAGTAGCCGGAATTACAGGCATGCGCTACCACGCCCGGCTAATTTTTTGATTTATTGTAGAGATGAGGTCTCACTGCCCAGGTGGGTCTCAAACCCGCGGGCTCAGGCAATCCACTCACCTCAGCCTCCCAAGGGTGCAGGATTACAGGCTGAGCCACCAAGCCTGGCCATTTTTTTTTTATGTAGCCAAATATGTCCACCTTTAAAAAAAATTCGAATTTATATCCTTAGTTAAGGTTTCCCCAGATCTCTAAATTGTACATGAAGTCTCTTTAAGATGAAATTCACAGCGAGACTCGGCGGCTCAGCCTGTAATCCTGTGCTTTGGGAGGTTGAGGTGAGCAGATTGCCTGAGCCTACGGGTTGAGACCCGCCTGGGCAACTTGGCGAGACCTCATCTCTACAATAAATCAAAAATTAGCTGGGTGTGGTAGCGCACGCCTGTAGTTCCAGCTACTTGGAAGGCTGAGATGGAAGGATGGCCAGAGCCCAGCAGGTCGAGGCTGCGGTGGCCGGGAGCAGCCCT